CTCTTCAGTGTCTTCGGTGTCACATGATCTTTCAGAAATCATTCTAATATGCTGATTTGCTGCTCAAGAAACACTTCTTATTATTGGCAATGTTGAAAACAGTTGTGCTGCTTAATATTTTTGTCAAACTGTGATAATTTTTATTTACATGATTTTTTGTGTAGAAAAAAAGTTTAAAAAGAGCATTTATTATTATAAAAGCCTTTACTGTCACTTTAGATTTTTTTCAATTTAATGCTTCCTTGCTTAATAAGAGTATTAATTTATCTTTTTCCATTGTTGAGTTAGTAGTCTTTTAAATGCCTAATATGTGTAACAATGATTACATTTAGGATTAATATTTAACTCATAATCTCTGTCAATCATTTGGATGTTTTTTTAGGAATGGTGGACAGCCGCTGTATCATTGGTGGGGTTCTGGAAAAGCGGCTTTACCCCCTTCCTGCCACATTGATCATGGGTGTCTTTGTCAACCACAGAGCAGACAAGTTACAGGTCGGTCTTGGGGTTAACGTTGGTTAGATGCGTAACCTAACTCAAAAGAGGCACCACTTAAGACTGGGGACTTCAGAAAACCACCTTCACATCTGCCCAAAGACCCCGGTCTACCATGGACTACGGAGAGAACAGGCAAGCTAACCAAAGCCCTGTTTACCAGACTGGACAATCATGCAGTTCATGGCAAGCAGGAATGAGGGCTGAAAAAAACCAGGAACGTCCCCTCTATGTTGGTACCATCATGTGTCAAGGATTTTGCTGTTTTGGTCTTATATTGGCCCCTTAAGTAATCTGAAGTAAATATTCAAAGATGATCTTACTTAAGAACAAGATGGCAACTTCTGCAACTGCTGGAGGAGACCACACAAATGAATATGTAGCTATGTCACAAAATTTCCTGTTACTTCTCTATTAAAGATCTATTTTTTTTGTAGCACACTCCAAATATAGTTCACTCCCAAACCAATGTCAAGCGAAACATATTGAAGATTAGCAAAGAGCCACACAATTTATCATGTATCATCCCCTCTGTTGTCTTTCATTTAAACAAATCACTCTCTTGCTCTCCTTGTTAAGCTAAACTTGAAGACTCTCCTTGAGGGTCGGATTCTGGTATAATGGCAAGTATGACGATGGAAGAAAACGCAGTGTCAGTGTGAACTGTATAAGGACGCACTATACATGAGATAATACAGGACTTTTGTCTGATTTGACAAATGTCAGAGCCGTGGTGCAGTAGTGCCCGTTCTTATGAAGCATAACAGCCACTGGTTCACAGGAATGAGTCGGGCCTGCTTTATATCAACCACATTCACACTGCAAAGTTTCAGGAGTGAGAACCACATATAAATGCGGAAGGGAATCCCCCAAATTAACGTAGCTTAAAGCCTGTTCACATCAAGAACTGTAACTGGACTTAATAAAGTGGGCAGTTGTGGCAATTGACAAAACTGTGTCATAATGTGTGAATGAGCAAGCTCGTACCTCTTTACCTGTGTTTTCCTTGCACTTCTGTACTTCAGCTGCTGTAAATAAAGCAGTGAGTAAATGGATGTGTTCTGTCAGTTTCCTCAAGCGCCTCCCTTACAGCTGAATGATATGATATAGAAACTCTGTAAGTAGATTGCGTTACACAATGTGATAAAACTGTGAAGAAACTTATAAAAGATCATTGCAAGTTATCTGCATGATGCCTGAAACACTTGAATAGGATTCTGAAACACCTGAAATAATAATTTTTAAAAACCCATTATGAATGATAAAATTCATAAGTCAAAAGTCAGTTAGCTGCTATTCAAATACTCATCTGAACAATTAATTTCTCCAGGTAGTGCAGTTAAACACATATGCCCGCATTCTCCACCAACAAACACACTTTGACCCCATGAAGATATATGTTTAAAGAAGACAAGGATTCAAAGTTGAAGTTCAATCAGTTGACAGAGTTTACTGAAGACAAAGTTCTCCACACTTCCAAAGGTTGTAGAAATAAGTAAGGGGATCAAGCCTCAAACTAACTTATGATAGTTCTTAAAGGGTTAGTTCACCCAAAAATGAAAATTCTGTCATTAATTACTCACCCTCATGTCGTTCCAAACCCGTAAGACCTCCGTTCATCTTCGGAACACAAAGATATTTTTGATGCATTCTGACAGCTCTCTGACCCTCCCATAGACAGCAAGGGTACTACCGCGATCAAGGTCCAGAAACGTAGCAAGGAGATCGGTAAAATAATCCATGTGACATCGGGTTCGATGCGGTGACAGAGTGATGCGGAGGAGACGAATTGTTGAATAAAGTCGTTTTTTTTTCTTCTTTTGTGCACAAAAAGTATTCTCGTAGCTTTGTAAAATTACAGTTGAACCCCTGATGTCACATGGAATATTTTACCGATCTCCTTGCTACGTTTCTGGACCTTGATCGTGGTAGTACACTTACTGTCTATGGGAGGGTCAGAGAGCTGTTAGAATGCATCAAAAATATCTTAATTTGTGTTCCGAAGATGAACAGAGGTCTTACGGGTTTGGAACAACAAGAGGGTGAGTAATTAATGACAGAATTTTCATTTTTGGGTGAACTATCCCTTTAAAAGCATATGGATAATCATTTGGCACCATTTCTACAGATTCTGATAGTTAACAGTACAGTGCTAGCATCTTCCAAACATAGTATCCTGTTCTTTACGCAAATGTGGATAAAGACATTATCTCTCAAACACAATGCTCTACATTCATAAGAAACTACCATAAGGTTGCATGTACATCATAAATCCCACAAAGGCACTTCTGGATCTTCATCTGGAAGGCTGTTGATTTTTAAACTCTCTTTCTGCAAAACAGCTTTTTGATTAATTTGACCATATAGTGATCAAATGATTTATTTACAAAACCCGTTTACTTGCATATTCCTCTTTTGTCCTGGTTGGGTCAGAGGGTCTTGACTACAAATCTCCATGTCTGTCTGTCTTGGTCTGCCTGCTTTGCCTTTCTCAAAGACATATTGATGCTCTTCAGTTCTGCTTACATTGTTGTTCTACAGGTTAGAGCTGGTCTTCCTCTTTTTCTCTTCCTTTGAGGGCTTCATTCCAAGGCATGGCAGGCAAGTGCATATTTATTCTCTAGAAGCCGAGCTAAATGAGTAAGCTACTGTAAATAATATCATTTTTATTGTGTGTAATTTCTAGATGTAATTTTGTCTAATTATAAAGAAGACACTGATGTAGAGGTTAGTATAGGTGCATGCAAAGTTGCTGTATCCTTACATATTGTAAGGATATAGTATTCCCAAAAGATGTTTCTAAAGGGAACTGTATATAGTTGTATCCCAACAAAATGCAATCTAGGAAGAAAATCTCGACTGCAAGTCTACATGTCATGTTTCCTTTCCCTTTCACTCCATCCCCAATAGTCTTTTATCTCTCCACTTGTAAAGGTGGCTGTAGTCAAGTCAAGTCCAGTCAAGTCACCTTTATTTCTATGACACTTTAAAGGGGTCATATGATGCGATTTCAATTTTACAAGCTCTTGGTGCATAAAGAAGATCTGTAAAGTTGCAAAGACTAAAGTCTCAAATCCAAAGAGATATTCTTTATAAAAGTTAAGAGTCAACCACACCTACCTAAAACGGCTCGTTCTAACACGCCCCCACATATCTACATCACTATGTGGGAAGATTTGCATAACGCCGCCCAAATGTTCACGCAAAGAAAGAAGGCATAACTTTTATTCTGTGAATGCCTGTGTGATTCGTTGTGAAAGTTATAATCCATAATTATGTCCCCACTGGATGCAACAAATGCCTCGTTTATAATGAGTTTTCATGTTTTTGAATCGTCGCTCCGGGCTGACCGGGCATCATCACAGTATGGTGAGGAGCGTAACATTTCCGTCACATGCTTGAGGAAT